AAACGTGGTAATATATTTGTACCATCAACGAATTCAGCCCATAAACAAGCTTCTCCACCAAGAATTCGTTTTCTTGCTTCATCTGAACCTATAATATCAATCATTAATTCGTTAAATTATCTATTCAACGATAAATTTACCAGTAAATTGACGAAGTGGTTCAATTTCATAATATTTAAAAAATTCTAAATTCATCACAGATGTATTTGTATTGTATTTACCATAACTAATATAATTAATATACCAAGGACTTGAAAGTATTACATTATAACCTTCATTAGCTGCTTGATTTAAATATGATGCCCATGAATCAAATGCAATACTATCACTAGTATCTTTCCATACTTGTATTATAGTACCAGGTGGTAACTAAATTAATAATTATTATTATAGATTAATCATCATAATGATAAAATATCTTACTTCAACTTTTTCATCCCAAACATCTTGCCATACAATAGGTATAACATCGATATTACGTGTAATATCTAAAATTTTATCTGCATAATATGCATGAAGACCTCTTGAAGAACTAATATTATTAACACTCATCCATTGAGTTATCTGAGGATTAGAAAGCCTGAGAAAAAAAAAATTCAATGCTATTCATGAAATATTTCTTAACATTCAACAGTAACTTACCAACATTTATCATATACTTCATCCATACCTCAAAAATTAGATGAAAAATAAAGAATTATATTTTAAATAAATGATCGATCCACTTACCAAGATGAATATATTTGGAAGGAAATCTACTTTTTACTTCTCGAAGTAAAGCATCCATTGTTGAATAAACAAGTGGTTCAATTGGATTAAATATTTCCATTTCACCTTGTGTTCCATAAATTGCTTGATAAGGTTGACCATTTGCCCAACATACAGTTATTAATTGTGGCATTGATTTACCCCATGAATATGTATGACCAGGTGTATCAATCTATCATTTTTGAAAAGAAGAATCGAAAATAAAAAGAATAATAATAATTATTTCAATTGACAAACTTCAGGAATGACACGAATTCCACGTAATCGAGCATGTTCAATAACATCAACAACATCTGCTTGTGTATATACATGATCTGGTGAATAAGCACCCTATAAATATCATTAATTTAAACTTAAAACATAAAAAGTAGTATTATTGAGTTACTGCTCGAGATAGATTTGGAAAAGTTGTACTTTCAAATGGAAATGATTGATCATCTACAAGATGCCAATGAAATACATTTAGTTTATTATATGACATTACATCCTACAATGGTATCAAAAAGAAACTGATCTAAATAATAAGTTTCATATGATAAACTTACAAGATTCTTTTTAATAATTGATACTGGTAAAAAATGACGTGCTGTATCAAGCATAACACCACGATGTTGAAAACGAGGACTATCAATAATAGTCACAGAACTATTAATAACAACCTTTTTGAAAGAAGAATTTAGATAAAGAACAAGAATAAGTAGATAAAATGATGATGTATTGAAAGTAAACATACATAGTTTTGTTGATTAATATAGATGAGTTGTGAAAATGTTTCAAGACCACGTAATAAACCCCAAACAGTACCAGCTTCAACAATTGCCATTTGTTGATTGATCGTTAAAGTATCTAAGTGTGAATGAGAAATAATCAAATGACATACATAGAACATGTCCAAAAAGTTTTTCGTCTGACTCTTCTAATAGCCGTAAATTGAGTGCAACTATTCTATTACTATGATCAGTCACATATAGAATTATGTGACATATTTAAGAGTTCGAAGTTTTGCACTTCATTTTTAAAGGCATGATTTTACATCACTAGTTAATCGGCTTAACTTGCAATGAAAGCCGTTCCGATTTACAATTAAAATGAGGGGACTTCACATCTTCACGTCGTATAGTAATGCATTTGTTTTATTTATTTCAACAAAATAATGTGAGCATGGAAGATACGGCTCATTCAGATCATCCTCTATCTGCTATGACCAACAAACTCTTAACTCTGTTCCAGCAATAATCGAAGATGGTTCTCATTGACTATACGAGTATTGTGTTCAGTGAATGCATTATCAACTTATTTACAACTGAAAACAATTTCTTGTTAAATTGAGTTGTCATTTACTGAAAATATTTAAAGGAATCTATCTTCAAATTTTATTCTACATTATTGCTAGTGACACTCATAGCTTTATTATAATGATCAAAACATCAAAGAATAGTCGACAGCCGAAGCGTTACAAAGTAATTCATGAACAACTAAGGGTCATCAAGACTAGAGGTCTCACAAACCAATTCTGCCATTTTTTCTCCTTGAATCTAGTTTAACTAAGTCTGTTCTATTAGGATCCAGCAAAAATAAATTAGACTGTCAATAGCTACCTAGCACAAGTTTTCACTATGAAAATCTGAAGTCACGGAAAGACTGAGATACCAATGAATTTCTAGCAGAAAATCATATGGAATCATGTCGAAATCTGATATATTCTCGAGATCTAAACCTATATGGCTTCTTTCTGCCTTCAAAACAAAAAAATAACAGGTTTTTGAATACTTGTCTAATGATCTAACAAAAAAAGATTGTTGGAGTGTTCGTTATAATTTGCTATGTCATAATATTTTACATACAAGTTTCATTTGAATTTTGTTGAATATATTGTTCACATTCAAGATTATCATGTATATTTAGTGTTAAACTTTGTAGAATATTATTAGCATCAGATGGTGGTTGAAGCATTGAAAGTTTTGGTGGAAAGAAAATTGGTTTATATCGTTCAATAGCTTTTGCAATAATATCACATGTTTGAATGTTAGAATAGATCATAATATCATGAGGACGAATATAGAGTAAATCATTGGAAGTAGTGATTTGTTGTGGATGTGGCCATACTGCATTTGGTGGTGAACGTTCTCCCTAAAAGATTTTTTTGCACTTTTTCAATCTTTATATTCAACTGATGAATAGACATTTTTCAGTGAGAGAATATGTTAACAATCGTAATTCTCACGTTCGAATATATAAGATTTATTTTGATTAGAAAACTCAATTACCTTTAATGGAAGACGAACAGCAATGAATTCAAGTTCACTAGAAGTGAACGTTACTAAGTAGAGTGATAGAAATATTCGATGTAACATAAATTTCATCGTAAATGTAATCATTAAATCCTCATTGTTAGATTATAAAAGTGTTCTTTGTCAGTCTATAAATCTTCTAGATTATTTTATTCTCACTGACTTCAAATCTATTAATAGTCAATATAATGATAAAACCTAAGATAGTGATCTTGTCCGAAAAACCCGTTTTATTGTCTTTTTATTTTTCTGACGAAATATGTTTAGTATTTTTGTTTTTTATTATTCATATACAAGTAATCAGGGTTGTGACAGTAATACAATTATGTTTTCTTTCATCTATGATTACAACAAACGGGATAAACATGAGATAAAATCTTGTAATTTACTTGATGTAACAAATCTTAAATAATGAAATGATAATCTTGTCGAACTTTTAACAATGAATTGATTATATGAATAGACTGAGCCATATATATAACAAATATTTGCTTTTCTTTTTGATCGAATAGATCATCGATAAGAAAGATGAATGTCATTGACTATTTATTAGCTCGTATGAAATACGCGAAAAATTATCGTACTTCATTAATAAAGATAATAATTCTGATTTTGATATAATTAGGATCATGAAAAAATAAAATACGAACTTGTGAATATATTTATAAATTCTCATGTCTATTATCTAATTTATATTAGTCATAAAATATTTGCAGATACTTTTTATAGATCTAATAAATCATCATCGTTTCTTTTCAAGTGAGCAATATTCGATTGAATATTTTCAACAACAGAATCATAAAACAGAAGCAAAAGAAATCGGTCTAAGTGTCTATTTATCATTTTCTTTAAAAGCTGAACTTCAATCAAAAGTAAAGAATAGTAAATTTTATTAGGATTAGACAGTATATTTCCTTATTCAAGATTAATTATCCATTGACTTCGAAATCACACGTGAAATGAAGAAGATAATATTCGAGTTTTCATGCACCCACACCCTTCTACATTCTGCTTCGCGCGCCTAAGTTAGAAGTGTTTTTGTTACGAAATACTGCTCTGTTCGTTACTTGTATTGAAAAGATCAAATTACATCACAAATTAACATCTATTCATTACATAAAGAAAAAAACGAACTCTAAAAATATTTTTCTTCTAAGACTCATGATGTCATTATTTTTATTAGAAGCCAAATACGAAGAATACGTATAATATTGTATAAAGGATATGATAAACTTTAAAATTGAATATTCTGGATGTACCCAATGCAGAATTAGTCGGAGTAGAGTCTTCATAATTGAATGCTGGATCGTTAATCATTGATTTTGGCATACCTAATTCATAGTTTCCACAATAACCACCTAAAATTGGTTGAGCAGGTATTCCTCGTCTAAAAAAACAAAAACAATTAAATTCATTTCTAAATTATTATTGCATCAACCTCAATAAACGACATCGATGAACATCCTAAAATTAGACAATCAAAAAAAAAATAATTACAGATATTTCTAAAACTTTACCAATCGAAATTGAGCATCTTCAGAATTATTAACACTTGCAGCACTCCATAATCGTTCAGCTACAGCAGATACTTTTGGCCACAAACGTGGTAATATATTTGTACCATCAACGAATTCAGCCCATAAACA